GTTCCTCATTGACTGTCTCAGCCTCTGCTTGTCAGGCCTTCACAGACTGAACTCTCCAGTGTCGTGGGCAGTGAAGGCTGCTGGCTGGCTTCTGAACATGTGGAAACCAGGCCTGAGTCTCGATTCCCCCACCTGACAGTGTAGTAATGTCCTGCCAGTCCTCACACCGTTGCTAAAGTAGATAGTCATGGAAATCAGAGCCTGCGGTGGATTTCCCACTCTCGCGTTGACTTCTGGAATGGCATAGTTTTCCTGCACTTAGATTTCTCTTTCTGTAATCATCAGCCATAGAGCTGCCTCATAGCCCTGGTGGGAGCATTGAGAACATGTCAGTGCAGTGCCCTCAAGGATGTTAGGACAAAGGTACAGTCCAAGCGCACAGAGCATTCCCCTCATCCCACAAGTCGTGTCTTTCTTTAGCCCCTGTCTCTAAGTGGCTCCTTCATCCACCTCCCGGAACATTCTTTCATCAGCCAACCACATTTGGTCTGCTTGCCCCACCCATCCCCAGACATTGATCATCACCCCATGAAATTGTGGCTCCACTCTGGTTTGTATTCGGGATGCCCTTCCCTTTCATCTGTGTTTTCCTTGGGGTAGTGTTTTACGGGGCACAATAAAATGTTTTGGGGACATGTCCTGTTGGAACTACATCAGGAAATACGCTTGTGTCATAGCTGTTGGTTTTGCGTTTTTTTGTGTATGTTTTTTTTTTCCTTTTGCCAAATGAAAAGCAAGATATGCATGGCTGTTGGCATTAGTCAGGTGCTTTCCATGCTGAGTTCAGTGGTCTGTGCTGTTTCACATGTTAGTGCCTGTTCACAGGGGCATGGCCAATGGGTGTGTGTTGTCTTTTCCCACAGCCTTTCCTGTGCTCAGCTGTGAAGCTGCAACCCAGACTGAGGGAAGACCGGATCTGGCTGGGGTGACCCTGAGGAGGGGTTTGAGACCCAGAGCAGCAAGATGCAGACCACAATCTTTAATAGATTACAAGTCGTACATCGACACCAAGCTGCTGGTGGCAAGGTTCCTGGAGCAGTCCTCCTGCACTATGACACCCGACATCCACGAACTAGTAGAAAACATCAAATCAGTTCTGAAGTCTGACGAGGAGCACATGGAGGAGGCCATCACCAGTGCCAGCTTCCTAGAGCAGGTAGTTTTATTTTTAGTATCTGGTGTGAATCAGATAACTTGTTTCCATAGCACCCAACGCGGCTTCTCCGAGTTCCTGTCCAAGGCATAGTAAGTTTATGGTCACTGTTATCAAGAGCAATGTGGTTTGGGGGTCTGGGGAGGGAGGGCAAGCTGGAGCACTTTCTTTTCTTTCCCACAGCTTTCTTGATCCAAAGGAAGAAAACCCCATTTTTCCAGAATGTGGAAGCCTGGAAAAAGAAAAGGGCGCTGTATGGATAAAAGCAGGGGGAGTGGGCACTGCAGGTCACATCCAGCAGTCAGTTTCCTGTGTTGAGAATTTCCCTTGATATGGCATGTTTTCAGCCCTTTGACAATGATGTACATACATGAATTTTAATATGGGCAAGATTCTGGGAGCTGTTCACATTACTATGAAATGTTTGGCAAGAGGCCTAAACTGATAGGACTGAAAGGAATAAACACCTTTTCCTTTCTATAGGTGAAAAGGTACAAGGCAACTCCCTGACCAGACACCATGGGGGGGGAAAGTTTTAATTGGGCCTGCAAATGATCTTTTTAGGTGTTAGGGTTCTCATCTTAAAGTGTAGTGTTGGACTAGGTGGTCTCCACACCTGTATCTCTGAATGAAGGGGGAATTTCCTTCTGATGAATCGCCTTGGAGGCACTTACTCCGCTGCTCCAGGTATGTGGGGTGGTGGTGAAGGCATTGGTGCCCTGCCACTCACCGTATTACCCAGCTGGGTGCATCAAGGGCCCAACAAACACCTGCGTCGAAATGGACTGATTCTTAGGGCCATTACCAACTACAGGATCCTAGGTAAAATTTCAAGGCAGATTGACTCAACCCCCTTCTCACTTCCTTTCTGTTCCCCCTTTCCATCTCCCGGTCTCTTCTAACAGAAGCCCTGAGCCAGATTCTCTCCTAGTCCCTCAGGGGGCCCAGAGGAGAGGAGCAGTCCAATTACTCGCATGAAGAGTTGCATGAGCCATGGACCCTCTTATCTGCTTTCTAAGAGAGGTCCTGAGTCAGGCTCTAGTTAGTATCCCATGTAGGGGAAATATCTATATCCTGGTGTCCCTGGTCTATGCAAAATGTCACTTCCTGCTGCCTCTCCTCTGTCCAGCCTCAGTAGCCCACTAAACAGGAGCAAGCATTTGGAGTCACTTAGAGGCTGCCGAGGTCAGAACTGGAGCATCTGCCAAGCAGTTGGTCTTGACCTTCTGTGAAGTCTTGCTCGCTGGAAAATTGCTCTGGGGAAAAAGGACAATCAGTTAGAGTCCAATAGATGCTATCACCACAAATATTCACTGGGTCTTTTGCACAGACTGGATCAAAGTCCAGGTATTGGGACTGTTGCAGTAGTCCTGGGCCATCTGCTGGAGCCTTGCAGAACTGGACCTGTGGTGACATATGATAATGCCACACCCTCCTCAGAGAGCAGGAGGCAGGGATGGGGAAGAGCAGCTGTTATTTCTGCCTCCTCCCAGCTTTCGCACATTTTCACTTTCTCTATATTCTTAGAATGCATTTTTGATCTGTTTTAAGTTTTACCAATATCAAAACCACTGTCCTAACTTACACATAACAACAGTTGACATCTATGAATGTTGGAATTTTCTTCTTACTCAGGAAACTAGGACAAGCCTTAAAGACAAACGTTAGCAAATCTAATGTCTCATCTCTTGGGGGGATTAACCTTTCTGTGACCTTAAAATCTCAGAATGGGTCCTGGCCAGGTGGCTCAGTTAGTTGGAGTGTTGTCCTGTGCACCAGAAAGTTGTGGGTTTGATCCCCGTCTGGGCACCTATGGGAAACAACCAATTAATGTTTCTCACATTGATTTCTCTCTCTTTCCCCCTCTCCCCTCCCATTGCTCTCTCTCTAAAAATCAATAAAAAAACAAATATATCCTTGTGTGAGGATTAACAATTTTTTAAAAAATCTCAGAATAGTATAAACTAAACAAAACGTCACCCCAATGATTATGACACTAGTGGTAACAAAGCACCTGGGCTTTCCCGCAGCACTGACAGGATCATAGGTCATGGACGGGGCTATGCGGTGTAACAGATTTATACGTACTGGACAGCTCTCCCCTCATCAGTCCCAGGTGGATGAAGAATTACTCATATTGTTGCCATTTTTGCAAAATAAGTGATATTATGCTGTATTTAAAGTTACGCATGCAGCACGTTACGAAAATAGATATAGCTAGTAGAACCATTCTTAAGAGTTTTTACAAATAAATAGTTGTTATGTTGTTTATTTAGGGGTTACTAGATCTATTAGAAGCATCATTGATTCTGGTTGACATTTTATAAACACTTTACCTGGTCACCATGCCAAACCAATAGTTATCAAATTTTTGAGTACGTTAGTATTGCCTGGGTTCTTGTTGAAAGTACAGATGCTTAAGACTACCCCAGACTCACCTGTCAGAATCAGTGTGGGGAGAGCTGGGAACCCACATCTCTGAAAAGCTCCCCTCCCTTCCTATAATGTACAGACCTCAGTGAGAATCAGTGATTTAGGTCACGGGAAAATTGGGGAAAAGTGATGAGCAGTGTTCAGTATAAAGCAGGAAATTGCAATTGATGAATCAGTGAAGCGAGTCAGGTCTACAGTTGGAACCATAGGAAATTTGGGGAATGTCTTAGGAACTTTAGAAAAGAGACACTATGTTAAGTCTCTGGAATTCCAAGTGAGTTCCACTGTGGGAAATTAAATCTTGTAGGGATGATGGATGACGGATGTAGGGGGCAGACCCCAGGACCACATCTGATGAAGCTTAACCTCCCCCTACCCTCTTTGTTCTCCCAAAGATAATGGCCCCGCTGCAGCCCAGCACTCGCAGGGCCCACCTGCTGCCCTCTCGGAGACAGCCTGGCTTGCTGCACCTGTGGAGCTGCGGAGACCTGAGCACCTTCGTCCCAGCAGGGAGGCCCAGAGCCGAGAGGAGGCCCCGAGCAGCTGCTGAGCGTCCCCACAGCCTCATTGGTGTCATTCGAGAGACTATCCTATGAGCAATAAATCTGTAACGTGAACCTCAGGAGCAGGAAGGAAGGGTCCCTGTACTCACCAGGTAGTTTCCAGGGTGGGGGTTGGGGTCCCTCTCTGGGAACTCCTTTAAAAGGGAGGCACTTCAGAGGACACCTGTCCCCGCTCTTTGGCTCCCCTTTCTGCTGACCTAGGGTTCTTCCAGGCTCATTTGGGCTTTGGACGCATCAAATTGGAGGCTGTGAAGGCAGCATCTCTCTCTCTCTCTTCTGCTGGTTCCCCGTCCTGGTGTAGATGGAATCTTTGCCCTTCACCCCTCATGGCTCTCTTCCTGGCTGAGCTCTCTGTCTCTGGAGGGCAGGTCTGCTGGGCTGCTATTGCTGGCTCCCTGAGGCTGGCTGTGCACTGCTCAGTGAGAGAGGAGTTGGCACAAAGCACAGTGATTAACCCCGATGCTCTCTAATCGTCAATCCCCAGCATAGGTCACCCTGAAATCACACTCTCTTTAGGAAAAAGGGAACTTTTTCTGTGACAAATCATAACGAAAGACATCTTGTCTATTCCATTTATTCATTCTTGCAAAACTAGAGGTGGCTAAGGCAGGGCTGAGAATAAAATGTTTACTCTCGACCTCTGGACTCAGTGTACGACGTTCGTGTATGTGACGTGGCCGCACCTTAACTTACAGAGATTTGGGGACTTGGAGCAGTGGTGGTCGGGTTTGGGCGGGCCACCACACCAGTTTAATCTCCAAAGCACCTGGTCCCCATGCAAACAGTATTCCTTTATGCATTTAGCAGGCGCCTGGCCCAGTGGCTTCATGGAGCTGCCTTGTAGTGGGAGTGTGAGCAATAAATCCGTAAAATGACTACAGATTGGGCATTAGTGCTAAGAAGGAAGGAGGCCGGTAGAGAAGGCTTCTTTGAGGAAATGACATTTAAACTGGACTTGACCGGGAGGGGCAGGGAAGGGTGTTCCAGGCAGAGGGAGCAGCCAAGGCAAAGGCCCCAGCACTAGAGGCTGCTGTGGAAGCAGCCCTGAGTGAGGGAAGAGGCAGGAGGAGCTCAGGCTGGACTGTATGCGAACAGTGAGGTACCACAGAAGAGTTTTCAACAGGAGTAACATTTAATTTACATTTCAAGAGATCACCGTGCATAGCAGAGACTAGTTGAGGTCAAGGAGGCAAGGAGCTGCACAAGGAAAGGGCCGCTGCCCTATGGGCACTGCCTGCGCTCCAGGTACTGACTGGGCTGGGACTTTACACGCTTGCATTTCACGCTCCTAACAGCCTAGAGGTGGGAGTGTGAGTGTCTCCATTTCACAGATGAGGAAAATGAGGATTAGTAACTTGCCCAAGGTCACTCTGAAGGCAGGTGGGTCGTGACGCCATGCATACCCCGGCAGCCCGTCTCCAGCACTCCATTTCCTAGCCTCCCAAATAGGAGCAGTTGCCAGTTCTTGTTTCAGCGCAAAGTGGTGGCTAAGACTTGGAGCTTGGCTCATGGAGGCACAGACACCCCGGGCTCCAAGCCCACAAACATTGCCAGAGTAGGAACTGGCATGAAGTCAAGGGACTGAGTAATGAAAGGAAACGACTATTTGGAGGCCCTGAGCTGGGGTGGGAAGTGGGCTGTGGAAGCAGATCTGGAAACGAGGAGAATGGGGGCCTGAAAACAGCCTGGGGTCTGGCGCACTTCCCTGGCTGAGCTGTGTTTGTGGAAGTTCACAGGGGTTTCCCAGAACGACACTTTGTCCTGCTCTTATCCACTCATCCTCAGATACTGAATTCCCCAAGTAAGCAAGCAGTCTTTCTCTTTCTTTAGAAGTCCTTGTTGTCAGCACCACAGCTGCCCACTGGGGGCTGGCCCCCTTCCCTGAGGCAGACACCCCCGCCCTCTTTGAGGGCCTGCACTGTGTTACAAGCCTCATGTCTCACCCAGGCTGTCTGACACCCATAGACCACCCACGTAGCCCAAGCCGGTTGCTTTCCTCCGTCATGGCTGCTTATTTGCCCCTGAACTAGTGTCTCCCGATCAAGCAAAGAACTCTCAGCCCACCAATTTGTTCCTCCCCCATGGCTGGGAAACAAGGACTGGCCTTCCTCCACCCAGGCTGGGTCTTTCTCACCTTTCTAGGCTTCTAGGGTTTTTTCTTACTCCAGGAGGACTCCCCCCCCCCC